TGGCCAATCAGAGCACACCTCGCTTTTTCAGACCGATGAGCTTTGTAAAAATCGACACGTTTCAGAAAGGCGGGGCATAGAGGAGAAACAATAATGTACAGTATGTGGAAAATAATGTGTTTTTTTAACCTTAAACCGCATAAACACATTTCATTACACCAAATACACAAAATAATGTTCTTTTTAGAAGCATCATATGACCCCTTTAAAAGTGTATTAAAAGAAACACTTCTTCCAAAAAGGAAAATACTGCTAATTTTGCATGTTTAAAACCATATTTCTTTTTCGCAGCATCTCTTGAGTTGTTTTCATTCATTCTTTTGTAGTAAAATCAGGAATGAAGATAATGAGGAACTTCCAGACCTGCAGGATTCTCTTCTCGGAGACTATGCAGATGATTACGAGGAGTATGACCATGACATGGAAGCAGAACACATGGACAGAGATGAGGACGACAGGCACAGTGAATGTCATGAAACTGATGAGGAAAAGGGCAACGATGAAGGACACTCATATCATGACAAGCTGGCTTTTGATGATGATGATGAACAGGATGAGCGTTATAAAGATGATGACGTCAGCAGGAAGCACAGCCAGAGCAGCAGGGGTAGTGAAAGTAAAAACAGTCACCATTGCGACAGAAGCAGAACAGGTAGTATTAATTAGGTGACAAAGAAAAACGGGAAGATCAGAAAAGTGGCCATTAGCTTTATTCTACATATTTAATTTGTTTTTAAACAAAGCAAACCTCAGTAGCAAATTGTTGTTGGATATATGTGTGAGAAAATCTCACAAACTTTATTAAAGGGATAGTTCACCCAAAAAGGAAAATTCTGCCATCATTTACTGCTGAAAACAAACGAAGATATTTTTTAGAATGTAGATAACCAAACAGTTTATGTATATTTATATGATGTAAAGTATATTATTTTCTTAGAGTAATGGGAATTTTGAGGGGAAATGTGCTTAATTATCAATAATAACAATAATAATAATGCTGCAATGCAACTGATCATAAAAAGCTTAAAGATTTCTTTATGCAAAGTATAATTTCCTTTTTTTATTTTTAATTTGAGGCAGAATGTGACCTGGACATGTTTACATGGCATTCACTCGATATACAGTAATGTAGTATATATATATACCTGTCCACTATCATATATATTTAACAAAGGGCCAAAAACGCAATATTATTTAATATGTTACAAATGAAATGAGTGTTTGTATATGCAATGAAAGAAAAAAAATAACTTAATATGTGAAAATAAACTTTATTATTGCAATTTTCACTTCTTTTCATACTTGGTGAATATAAATACGAGCATATAAATCATTTTATACATGAGCCACAGCCTAAAAATACGCATCAAGGTCAGTTACTGTTTGAACATCACAGGCAACATCTCAGTAATTTTCCATACTCCACGCGGTCCAGCCCACAACACGCTCACGCTGTGGTGCTAAACCCGCCTCATACATGAGACCAAAGGCAAAAGACGCGCAGGGAGGGGTCAATCCTGACTGACGGCATCTCTACCCAATCACATGCGCGCAAGGCTTCCGCGGTGCTCTCTCCGACCAATCAGCTGCAGCGGAGGGCGTGGCCGCAGTCCGAATTTTACGCGGCGCTACGGCGTGAAAACTAAACCGAGATGGAATATGCCAGTCTGAACCGGTTTCAACCGGTCTTGCGTGTGATGCATGAGACTAGAGAGGAGCTGGGTCACAGTCTCTCGCAGATATCTGCTTTCAAAACAGCGGTTTTTCTGCAATAGACAAAAGAATAAACTAACGATTGGTTTGATGCTGTTGTTATAAAACGGAATGAGTAACGTTAGTTACAGCGAGCTGTAAACCGTCATACAGAGAAACAGATGAACTAACACGAGCTGCTGACTGAAAGAGAACCTGGACTCAATTACTGAAGACAATAATTAAAAATAACACCGAAATCGTGTGTTTTTGGGGGGTTTCATGTACCGTTTGTTTCGCAGTATAGTGTGTTTGGTTATACAGAGAGCTAACCAGCTAGTTAGCATTTGAAGTGAACTTGCTAGATGCTCAGATTGCATTTTTAATACACACGCTATCCGTGTAAAATGAGATAAATACGCTAGGCGCTTTTTTTTTACCTCACGTCTTGATCTTGTTTTGACGCGACGCACGTTTCCAGGACACTAAACTAGTTGCTAATTCCCAAACCACGTTAGCATTGTTGTTGTTTTTTTTCAACGAGAAGGAGTTTTGGTTAAAACAGGTAAGTTAAAGGTTGTTCTTGAGGTATTTGGTGAAACGGTAATCTGTTATAAATAGTATCTACTACGATAAGCGAGTTGAATGAAGTGCTAGTTTGCTGACACACTGCTAGTGTTGACCAGAAACGAAAACGCGTTTTGTTCCTCTCCGCTGCCCGTAACTGCAAGGCGCTCAACTAGAATTCATGTGGGCTGCTTTCTAAAAAGTTTGATCAGTGTACATGAAGATCTGTTGACTCAAATGCGTGTTTACTCTTGTGTTTTTCTAGCTGTAGAAGGAACACACATTTAATATGTGTTAAACTGCCATGTTAGCACTTTTTTAGAAGCGTTTAACTAGTAATACTAGCTGTTGTAACGGTGAACTCAGCAAAACTGTCATTATAGGTTGTAGCTGCATGCTTAAGTAATGTGTTTTGTGGACTAATGTGCACCCACGTGGTTTGAGCCATTGCTTTGGTATCTGACTTTTAGCATAAGAGATAATTCTGGTTAAACAACTAGTAAACCGTTAGGATGAATGGTCACATAAGTGTCGCCATTGATGTTTGATACCTAAAAGATGTTGTGCGTCTTGTCTTACAGCTCTATGCCGGCAGACATGACCATGTTGGCGGATCACACAGCACGGCAGTTGCTGGACTTCAGTCAAAAGCTAGACATCAACCTGCTGGACAATGTGGTCAACTCCATGTACTATGATGTGGGATCTCAGGTACGAGTCGATTTGAGAAATCCAAGACAATTCTGAATGTACATGTACAGTGCATCAAAAGTGGTTTTCGCTGTGATTATTTGTAGCAAAGACTGGCACAAGAAGTTCTCACCAACCTGAAGGACCACCCAGATGCCTGGACCAGAGTGGACACCATACTGGAGTTCTCGCAGAACATGAAGACTAAAGTATGTTAACATGTGTTTATTTCTGCATTTAGCCAGTGTATAGAGTCCTGCAACTAAATGCCACCCGTGAGCATTTATTCTGCCACACTAAACTGATGGTTACTCTTTTGCAGTACTATGCTCTTCAGATACTGGAGACCGTGATCAAAACACGCTGGAAGATTCTTCCTCGAAACCAGTGTGATGGTGAGGGACTGTACGACTTCAGTCTGAACATTCGCGCACACTGACCTTGGTCATTATAGAGGATTTATTGTACACCTCCACATTATATAACACTGCTGTCATGTGAAATCCTGATGACTCTTTTAAGAAATGCACAAATAACAGACATCTCTCTCTGTCCACAGGAATTAAAAAGTATGTCGTTGGGCTGATTATCAAGACTTCCTCTGATTCCAACAGCGTAGAGGTAACAAAAACGCTTCAGATGTTTAGTATTATTTCTACAATTTGTACCATTTAAATGACTTAAAGGTCCCATATTGTACACCTTTCTGGAGTTTTATTTTAGGGTTTGATGTCCTTAAGAATATATATTTGCGGTAGAAGTACCAAAAACCATCTCAATATATTTTTACAGCTCCTCAGGAGCTCTGCTGAGAACTGGTCGATTTTGGTCTGTCTAATTAATATTCATGAGCCTCTCTTCTGATTGGCCTGTTGTTTTCTGAGTGACGCCAGGCCAACCACAGGTAACTAGGGTCAGCGACGTCACAGTGCTAGCTGGAGGCAGCAAAACAAAGGGGAAACTGGAGGCGGCCCATTCAAACCAGCGCAGATTCGGCTACATAAGGAGCTTAAAATATCATCTTGTTGTCAGGAAATTTCAGTTTTGACAATATGGGACCTTTAAAATTAGATTTTATTTTCATATTTTTCCGTTTAATTTTAGTTAACGTTTTGTTGTTTTTAACTTTAACTTAAAGTTAAAGTAACTTTAATTTGTTTATTTAGTTTTAGTTGTTGAAGTTGCACTTCAACTTTAAACAAAAAAAAAGAGATGTTGCCTTGGCAATTAACTGAAATAAAATAAGTTTAGATTTTTTTTTAAATATTTTGTCTTATTTTATTTTGCTTAGTGTATTTTATTTAAATTAATTACTACATTTCAATCAGTTAGTTACAACTAAAACTTAAAAAAATTTGTATCAATTGAAGTAAAATAAACTTAGGGTTTTTGGACATTTTTTATCTTTTTCAATGTCTGCATTAGTTTTTATCAATTTTTATTCAAGTTTTAGTTAGTGAATTAGTACTTCAACTTAAACTAAATGAAAATGATCATAAATAAATATGATAAATAAAAAATAAAAAAATGATCATATTTGCCTTGGTGTCTAACTGATATAAAGTTTTTTTTATTTTTTATTTTTATTTTATTTTTTGATCATATTTCCATTAATTAGTCACTATTAATCAGCTGGTTACAACCAATATATTAAAAGGCATTTTCATTAATTTAAATAAAATAACTGAAATAAAACAAACTTTAAACTATTGTTTTATTTAGCATTCAGTTAATTTTTTAGTTAACTATAACCCTGATTAGTACTAGTCATATTGCTGAATGCATTCATGTTGACTTGTATTTGTACTCTTACAGAAGGAAGGGGTTTACATAGCAAAGCTCAACATGATCCTGGTGCAGGTGAGTGTGTTTTCAGGAATATCAGTAGTGGTTATATTGTGAGAGCGAAGGGCTCATGGATTTATTGCTGTTGATGTCTTTCTGTTTGTGTGTAGATTCTGAAGCAGGAGTGGCCGAAGCACTGGCCCACGTTCATCAGTGACATTGTGGGAGCGAGTCGCACCAGCGAGAGCCTGTGTCAGAACAACATGATCATCCTGAAGCTCCTCAGTGAGGAGGTGTTTGACTTCTCCAGCGGGCAGATGACTCAGGTCAAAGCCAAGCACCTGAAGGACAGGTACACATGACCTGCAACATGTGACCGTTGCAGACTTTGCAGGGTGTGGTTGGCAAAATAATTGTGGTGATATTTGCTCAACCTCTTTCCCTTTTTTTTCTTTTTGCAGTATGTGCAACGAATTTTCCCAGATCTTCCAGCTGTGCCAGTTTGTCATGGTATGTCGCAGGCATTTTATTACAGCATTGGTGTTTTTAGTATTAAAGGTATAGTTCACCCAAAAATTTAAATTTGCTGAAAATGTACTCAATGTCAGGCTGTCCAAGATGTAGATGAGTTTGTTTGTTCATGGGAACAGATCATGCATCACTTGCTCACCAATGGATGCTCTGCATTGAATGGGTGCTGTCATAATGAGAGTCCAAACAGATGATAAAAACATCACAATAATCCACAATTTTCCCTTTTGGGTGAATTATTTCTTTATGTGCCGTTCAATATATTCATGCCTCTCATTTTTAAACCTGACTTGATGCTTTGTACATCAGGAAAATTCCCAGAATGCCCCTCTGGTCCAAGCCACATTGGAGACCCTCCTTCGTTTCCTGAACTGGATTCCACTGGGCTACATATTTGAGACCAAACTCATCAGCACGCTGGTGTACAAGGTAACATGACTCGAGGTCTCGAATTGTAACTCATTTGATTTAGTAAAATGCTGTTATAGCAGACTGCTGTCACTCCTCTCACAAAGGCGCACTGTCATTGGTT